GCAATACATCACAAAGTGTGATGGCAATGTAACTAGCAGGGACGATCGTTTTCCTTCAATTCATATAGACACTTGTTGAAGTCAATGTCAGTGTGAATTAGGATATTGCCTACATCTAGCAACGAACTATTGGGGCATGTACTCCATGCAATTTTTGTGCATCTACCCGAAGAGATACCATGTGCACTTTAGCCCCCCGTATCTTTTTTTCAATACTGTGCATGCGATATTATTGTTGAACCCCTCCACATCCCCTGTCTGGTTAATGTTTCCATATAAGACGATTACCCAGGTCATTGGTGCGTAGCCATTATCACCAAACATATTAGATCAACCTCAAGTCTGCACGTTCCCAGACATTGACAAAACCTCCTATCGAAAGTTTATCTCTTTTAAACCTGACAATACAAGGTTCAATTATAAAGGGTTCGCCCATTAGAGACTCTTCCATTATACCCTACACGTCGAGAAACAACATATTTAGGTTCACGATAACATGCACTACAACTAAGTATTGTTGCTTTCAATAGTGAAAATATATAGAAAACGAACTTGCAGGCTTGTCCATATAGATGTGGGTGCAATTGATAGCACCTCACACGTGGTTAATAAAAGGCGTTATTTTCTATATATTTTTTCACCAAAACCATCACATTGGCTATGTATATGCTTTAGGAAACACCGTATATTAAAATTTTCCATATGTAAGCAAACTGAGAAAAAATAGTTTTTTTTTGAAATGGTTGAATATTTACTTTAACCTGACCAGTGTTTTTGTGTCAGGGTTCTTTGATGTTTTGTATAATTTTGTTCCTTTTTTTTATTGTTTTTTTTTTATAATTATTATTTGTACTATGAACCCATATCATTTTATTCTGAAGTGTTTCATCATGTTACTTAAGGTAATGAGGTAAAAATTAGGAATTTTTAGCATTCAACCACCTCTCTAACATTTATGCTATTAAAAATTTACTTGTTAAGATAGACTTTGACTTTGGTGATGTGCAGTCTCGTCCACCTACTCATAACAATTATCATGTTAGGATACGGTTGCGAAATGGCAAGACTCATGTATCTCCCGATAAGCAAACTATTTTTTTACATCTTGCTTGTTGCCCACGGGTATAAAGTGAATCTTACCACATGTTCAAATTGCAAAGGTATGTGGTAATATGTGGCGTGATGTTTCAGGTATGACGATGCAACTGTAACAATGTTTTTGAACACGCTCTCAATATGTTAAGCTTTTCATGGTAGTACTCATCGTTTGCACCATCATCCATATAGAGAGTTCCCAAGTCTCGTAATTCCTTTCCGTATTTACCACGCCAGTGACTCCCTTGACATCCTATCAGACAATACGCCAGACGATAATAGCTGCAAAGACCGTAATCCAAGAAAATGTCAACATCCTATGAACAACCTGATAACTCCAATGTGTTTTTTAACATTCACACGTACTTGTGCTAATGCTGCTCGCTCGACAACATCTCGCATGACCACACACATGAACAACTGCACATGTAGTACTAATTCCATGCCCTTGCGGTCGAGAATTTTCCCACCACTCCTGACATGTGTGTTCTCCCCCCTATCGGAGTTCCCCGAACTGGTGGATGCTTTCCAAAGTTTGAATTTGAAAAGCTCAAATTGGGCTGGCTCTGAAAACGCCTTGCTTGCCAAAAAAATTGAACAGGTGCGGACCTCCTGTTGCCCTCATAGGTTGACCCGCGAAACTTACGGCACATTAATGGCCACATCGAAAAAACATGGTTGGGCAAGGTTAATGGTGGTGATCCGCACCGCTACCAATTTTCAAGCTTTCACTTGTAATCGTAAAAAACATGCCCAACTCGCTAGCCCACACGCACTAGCCTGTGGCTACATATTTTCTAATATTTTATGTCTAATGTGTCCTTGGGGGGGCAACAGGTCTACTCACAGATGGATCCAGGATGTTATAAGCATTGGACGTTCGGGGTGTCCGATCTTAAACCACCAGGAACTTTAAGAACGGACCACTATTCGAGCGCCCAAATTCAACTAAGTTGAGATGCGTCTACTTTTTTTTTTTCCCGCGGCCATCATATGGGAAGATACTGGTCGTTCAAAATCTCGTGGCAGTTCTTTAGCCACTCTAAAAGTGCTTGAAAACTACACTATCAAGCTGCTAGTGGGACTTGGCTCTCGGAGTATAGGAGGGTAGAGCGCACCTAAGGGTTGCTTCACAATTTCAGAGTGAGGGCTTGCTCCACACCATTTCAAACTCGAGGGTGACATTGTCCGACACCGTTCCACAACGTCCTAATCTCCTTCTCAGGGTGATTAAACCACTAGTACCTCGCTCAGCTATCGGCCACGGGCCTTCCCGTATACGCGCCACAGCCTTAGGGGGTCGGCCAAGGGAAGGCCCGGTCGTAGCGTGGACGCCGGGCCCCGCTTCTGTAGGGACGACACACTAGTGAAAAATAAAATTAAAAAAATACACAAACGAAAAAAACAACAACGGAAAAACAGCTAAGTTGCGCGCGTGCGCGCAAGAGAGAGAGAGAGAGAGAGAGAGAGAGAGAGAGAGAGAGAGAGAGAGAGAGAGAGAGAGAGAGAGAGAGAGAGAGAGGATGAACGCATTTATTTTTCTCATTTGTTTTTTTTTTTTCGTTTTTTTTTTCCGTTTTTTCCGTCCACTTCACATGGACATTCGGGATGACTGCGCCCGGTAGTCCCAACCTCGACACGGATCGGCGTACCGGTCGGCCGAGGCTCGGACTCAATAGCTGGGCCAGGTACTGGTGGTTTAAGGGTCTCTTTAGACACTCTTAAAAATGCCAATTTTTAGGAATGCAATGTCGTTAGAATAGACTATTCCTAAAAAATAAATTTATTAAAAGAAAGTGAAAACACCATAAGGATCATTCCTAAAAAAATAGGATTCCCTAGGCAAAACAGCCCGATCTGTAAAAAACCTTGTGAGGTTCTTTACAAATGACAAGACCGTGTTTCGCAGAGCCCCTATGACGCACGCAGGGCACCAAAAACGTCGACGTGCTGGTGTAGAAGCTGTCTGTCATGCCGCAGCAAGAACATCGGTGGTCTTTGATCACAGAGAAACGAGGAATGGCCACAACCTGTAGTCGTTAGGTCGGAGGGGTGTCTTGAGCACGAACTTCATGCGGCAGTGTTTCGCCCATAGTTGACCATTGCTATGGCGTCCATGCCCGATCATCCTCTCTCACTCCGCGTCAAGAACAACAACTGTCACCGCCAACGCCACAACGTCCCGCTCTTCAGTGGACAAGACACGAGTGTCGTTGCCAACGTCCACCTCCATGCTTCATTGGCTCCACTGCTCTTCGCCCAATGCGAGCTCACCTCGCTGTCCCCCGCACTGCCAATTCGCCCCCAACAATGCTGCGCTCAAAGACTGCTTCGCCCCAAGCTCTAATGATGTCAGAGATGGCGGCTGGCTTACAAATGGCGGGCCCAAACGGCCCGTGAGCAGATTCAAATTCGAACTTTCAAAATGCTTCCCCGCAATTTTCAATTCCCTAGTATGGACCGGGTGGCATCCGTGACCCTGCATACAATGGACATGCGAGGACCGAAGGCGGACATCAGCCGCGCGGCTCCATATATGAATATGAAACTGGCCAGAGGAGGGCTGGAAGGATTGATCCTAAAAGCTATCTTTTAGGAATAATCTTGACTGGTCCTTAAAATTTTATGACTCGTAAGGAGTATCTAACGAGACCCGAAGTTGCCTGCCTTTTTTTTTTTTTATTATTATTTTTTTTTTGCTCAAAGACCCACCTTTTCCCACCTGCCGGAGAGCTTTAAAGTGAGGTGCAGGCAAATCGCCCGTTTTCAAGTGAGAAATTCTTGACTCGGAAATTCTTGAAAACGGCCTCGTGCTGGAAGGGGATCATTGCTCCCCTTGGGTCGAGGTGCTCTCCTTCATGGTTGGCCAGTTGTTGTCAATAGGGGCCGTGCATGTTCTTCAAGGGCCATTTCAAGGGAGCTTTCAAGAGTTGGGTGGAACGAGAACTCTTGGGCCGCCCTTGAAGAGAGCATGAAATTTATGAGCGAAGTGGTGTCTAACGAGGCCCTGAGACTGGGCATTGGGCACTCCGGTTTCAGTCCCACGTAAACCCCACCCTTCTCTTTGGCGATGTGGCCTAGGCTAGGTGGAGCTCCATCGCTCACCAGGCCTACGGTAGGGTAGCTCCAGTTGGCGCCTACTCTTTTTGTGTGGCGGGAAAGGCATGTGCGAAATACACATGTTGTGGGGGAGAGGAGATGGAAGAGAAGAGAAGATAGGCAGTGGAGGAAAGGGGGGAGCGCGACAGAGAAACACGCACACAAGAATATCGCTTTGTGAAAAAAAATAAAACTAAAAATAAATAAAAGAATAAAAAAGGGAACAACAGAACACAAAACGACAAGACAAGCAGTGGCGGGCACGCTTTATCAGATATGTATGAAATTAACTGCCCACTATCCTCCGCAGTAGATTGTCAAGGTCCACGGTGAACTGCACACGAGGGGGCCTCTTTGGCGGAATCTGGACACGTTCTCCCACCAGATGCATCCTCCGAAAGTCGTACCATGTATGAATGCCGCCTTTTGAGGTCTTCAGTAGTTAGTTTCATCATCAGCTGGAAGACTTGGGGCCAAGTCCCACTAGCAGCGTCGAGGTTCTTCAAGGTCCCAATCTGGACGTGTTTGTGGATATGTGCAGAAATGGCGTTCAGGCTTCCTAACCGCACATCTCCATAAACACGTCCAGATTCAGGCGTTGAGGAAACTCAAAGCTGCTAGTGGGACTTGGCCCTCGGTTGCGATAGCAGAGGGGTGGTTGTTTTTCCGTTTTGGGGGAAGCTATCATGCATGCATGCTGTGTTCCTTGCTCTCCTTTCTCTTTTCACCTGTGCAAATGTAAAGGCTGTTTTCGAAATTGGTTTTGCGGTCTCCTCCTGTCCCGCCCAGCTACTGATTATCGCCGAGCGCGGAGTGCACTCCCAGTGACTGGGCCGTTCCCCCTCTCGGCGGGGATTATTAGTCAGTCCTCGAGAAGAAACGTGGAGGAAGGCAGTGAAGGCGGGAAAGGCCGCCGAAGCGCTACGTGGGGGGAAGGGAACCAAGGCGGGAAGAGCCGCCGACGCGCTACGTGGGGGGAAGGGAACCAAGGCGGGAAAAGCCGCCGGCGCCTCGTCGAGCACGCCCTTGCGCACATCTGCTGGTTCTCGTCGCCGGCGGGGAACCTGTGCAGCGTGGCATTGCTAATCCGGATCGCGACGGCGGCTTTTCCGGTCTACTGCTGAGTCATCCAGTCCAGTAGTATAGGGGGGAAGAGCGGGGTACCGAAATTTGTGCGGGAGACACACGCAAAAAGAGCGGGGTGACGAAATCCGTGAGGGGGACACAGACGCGGAAGGACGGTGGGCATTTGGCGCTAAGCACGTGTCCTGTCTGTTGTACGCTCGGTTGCTTTGGCGGGGCAGATCTGCATTCCTCCTCGTCCTCCTTCTCCCTCTCTCTTTCACCGTGCTGTGTCTTCTCTGATATTAACGGGACTGCCTGTAAGTGCCGGTCTCGGCCGTGGCCATGGCTTCCACTGCCGCCTTCTCGGCGTCGGCTTCGAGGCTGACCTCGACCGCTTTTTCGCTCAGGACTGAGGTGTGCTCGACGTCATCGCCATCTTCCTCATCCTCATCAGGAACCCCATCGTCGGTCGCATCAGCCGCCTTATCTCTGTCTTCCTCTCGGGGCGACAGCTTGCCACGTGGAGCTGGAAGGAGGACCGCTCCATCTCCTCCTCTCAAGGCTTCACGGCGAGGCTTCTTCGGGAAGGAGGTGGACTGTCGTTCCTCCGTTTCGAGGAATGTCGCCCAGGTCTCGTCTGTGGGAAGCGCGAGGGCGACAGCGTCGGAGTTAGTCGCACCCATACCGGCCACGGATCTTGTACGTACATCGTTTTTCGACGATATCATCATTGCCGTTTCCTGTTCCGCGGCTTTTACCCTTTTCCTTTTCGTTACCTTATTCACTCGTATACTGAGTACTCTCCCACGCTCCCCCACGCTCTCTCCTCTCCCACAGTCCCCCTCTTTGTCGTCCGCTCTCCTGTCCCACGCCCTGCCACGGACTCGTCGCTTTCGCACGCTCTCCTCTCCTCTCCTTTCCCCTTTTCCTTTTCATTGCCTTATTCACTCGTGTAATGTGTACTCTTCCACGCTCTCCCACGCTCTCCTCTCCCGCACTCCCCCTCTTTCTCGTCCGCTCTCCTCTCCCACGCTCTGCCACTCTGCCCCCTCCCACGCTCTGCCACTCTCCCCCCTCCCACGCTCTGCCACTCTGCCCCCTCCCACTCTCATTCACTCTCCTCTCCCGCGCTTTGCCATATTCTCCTCGGTTTCCCGCTCTCTCCCTCTCTCTGCTACTCTCCTACGCTCAACTCTCTATCTTTTCCTGCCCACGCTCTCCCTTGCTCTCCCCAATGCTCTTCTACACTCCCATCTCCCACGCTCTGCCCACACTCTCCTCTCCCGCGCTCTGTCACGCTCTCCTACCCTCCCCTCTTAACTAGCATCTCCCCTCCCCTTCCCTCCCTCTCCTCCCCTCCCCTCCCCTCCCCTCCCCTCCCCTCTCCTCTCCTCTTAACACTATCTCTCCTCCCCTCTTAAACCGGCATTTTGTTGTCAATTTTCTTCCGCCGTGCGCTTTCTCCTTGGTGTGTATTGCATTCATCGATTGTTCCAGAAGGGCCATAACGGAACTCAATGAAGGAAGGAAGGATAAGCGACGAATTTGCATGTGCCTGTGCGACTGCAGTAGCGTCCACAGTTTGCGCTGCGCTGACAACGCCCTGTCATTATCGCTGCTGCATCTTGACTGAAAGTTGCCTCCAAACACACCTACAATGACCTCCTCCTTGGTCATATCAAGATGGACTTCGCTCCACACCGGTACAGTTTTCACCAGAGTAGGACATCCGGTCATTATCGCTTGAACTGAAAGTTGCCCCGAATACAGTCATAATGACCTCGTCCTTCTTCTTGGTCGTGTCGAAGATGAAGAACTTCGCTCCAGACCAGTGCCCGTCTTCACCCGAGCAGAACACCCGGTCATTACGCTGCATCTGGACTGAAAGCTGTCGTTACGCTGCATCTGGACTGAAAGCTGAGGGTCCAAGATGCATTCGGGTGAAGACGGTAAGCTGACGGTAAGTCGTCTTCACCCGATCAGTACACCATGTTCACTGACCGGCCGTTGTATTCGGGTGAAGACGGTAAGCTGACGAAAATTTAGCGACAGGCAAAACAACAAGGACACGAAAACGGAGAACGGCGGCTCGAGTGAATCTTTCCGCCTTCCGGCGCAAGATGCATTCGCCCTTTTTTATATTTCCCACTTTTGGTGAGTAGAAGTCGCGCGGCGAGCTCTCGAATGCCATACGAACAATCGGTTCTAGCTCAGTATGTGATGAACTGTTGAAATAGAGACCTGGGGTCGAATACGGATCGACCTCGATGAAAGAAATTACGCAGAACGATACAGCGAAGATTAGCATGGCATGGCCCCTGTGCAAGGGTGAGACGCATAATCGAGAAATGGTCGAAGTTAAAAAAAAAGCCATATGATGCTCCATTTGCGGGTATAGCTTGCGTGCATGGGTCATTTTGCTGAGAGTATCTGCGGTCTTCCCCCGAATATGACGTATATGGTCATTATCGCTGTATCTAGAGTGGGAGTTGCGCGAAATACAGCTGTAGTGACCGTGCCTCTTCCCCCGAATAGAGCGTAGGGGTAGTTCGTAGCCGGTGCTGCGGATTGATTAGAAGAGGCGGAAAAGAAAAATAGAAATGAGAGTTGCCCCAAACACAGCTAAATGACCATGCGTTTTATTTTATTATTATTATTTTATTTTTTTATTTTTTTTGGGGGGACGAGGGGTAATTCGTTAGCCGGTCCTGCGGACTGATTAGAAGAGGCCGAAAAAAAATAGAAATGACGATTGGTCGTTGGGACGCGGCAGGTTTTTGAGTTCACAACAGCAAAAAAATCACGCGCCTTGAAAGATATCACGACGTGAGTTTGAAATGGCAGTTTGCGTAGACAAAAAAAGAATCTGTTGGC